ATCAATATCTTCGTCAAAATAAAAATTTAAATTTTATAGAAGAGTTTTAAAGCTTGAAATCTCTACTTTCAAAGCGTTTCTATATTTTTTTAATTTATGTAAGTTTTGTAATTTTTACATATAGAAAACTATGCTGAACAAAATGAAAAATTTTCTTTTCACTTTATAAGTCTGTAGCATATTAAAAAAAAATTTTCAACCAATTTTTGATTATCGTAAAAGCTTAAAAACTTTCCTTATAAAATCGTTTTTTAAAAATGTTCCTAAGTTTTTTGTTCCTAAGTTACTCGCGGATTAAGTAAAAAGAAATATTCTGACTTTATTGCTCGTAAAATTGATTTTAAAAATCATCGTGTCGCAATTAAAAATACAGATTTAAATGTCTTTTAAAGAGTTGAGATGTTGCTCTATCAAATAATTATCATTACATTTTTTTTAAATAAAATATATGGGTTGCTAAAAGAAATTTTTTTACCAACTTATAAAGAGATTTTTTTCTCTAACCCAACATGCATAGTTCGTCAAGAAAAATTTATAAAAATACTTAAGAATCTCACGCTATTCAAGTCTAATTTTTATTTATTATGATAAAATAGGATTTAGTCAACATTTTACCTTAAATATAAAACTTACCTATCCTGATCTTCTAATATTTCATTTTGAGGATCGAAGTAAGAATAGTAGACGCGCTGAGCTGGGAGAGGCGGTGGCGGTAATAAACTAGTATCTGGTTTCTCGTCCCTTTCGTGATTCGTCGGTTGGATATCACTCTGCTGTACAATAATATTAAAATGTACATAAATTATTCTATCTATTTAATCTATCTATCTATCTCTATTCAATCTATTCATATTTACTATAGAATTATATCGTTTGAGTTATAATACGATAAAAAGCTCTAAAAGATAAAAAAAATTTTTAATAAAATATTAGTAAGAAAAAAATATATTATATTTGTTGAATAAACCCGAATAGATCAAAAGAATTATTATATAAAATATATTAAAAACTAAATTGTCTAAAATAAAATTATATAACTATTTATTAAAAAATATAA